AACTCGATCAAGTATTTCTTGAACATAGGGTATCTGTTCTTGCTGATTGTTTGTCTCCTAGTTGTGGTTGGAGAAGTAAAGCAGAATCAATGATACGCATACTGAAAAACCCCGAAGATGAATACAATTCATACTCGCACGCATGGGACATTACTTATAATGTCGGAAACATTCATGGGAAGAAGACAGTTTTGAAGGAAAAGGTGCCCAAAAACACCAAGTTATCTTTCAGTGAGTTTGTCACGAAAAGAGTTAATGTTATTGAAGAAAAACTCACAACTATGGTTAGAAACTTGTACACACATATGCCAACTTCTTTTGTTACATTACAACTAGCAAAGAAAATGATGAAAGTTATCAGCTTGATTCGGTCCGTTGGAACTACGATTCCAGGAAATGATGGGATGAGGAAGGAGTTCCTTCAAGTACTTGATAAAGTCCTTTGTCAAACAGTTTCTTTCCCTAAATCCACAGATTTTTGGGATATTGGGAACTTCTGTTTAAAAAATGCATCTATGATCTTCTGCACCGCCTCGAGCTCAGTTAGATTGCACACCCTGGAGAAGAATGTGGAATTATTGGTAGTCGATGAAGCTGCTCAACTTAGAGAATGTGAATCTGTTATCCCTTTGCAACTCCCTGGTCTTCGCGGAGTTATACTCATTGGGGATGAAAAGCAACTCCCTGCCACAGTTAAAAGCAAGGTACACATTATTTCCATTAGAAACCAATTAGAACTGTCCACATAGAAACCAAAAGTCTGATGGCGAGAATTGTTGTAGATATGTAACAAGCTGGAGTTTGGAAGGAGCTTATTTAAAAGATTGGTGTCACTAAAACACACAACACACCTACTGAATATCCAGTACAGAATGCATCCGATGATAAGCTTGTTTCCAAACAAAGAATTCTATGGCAACAAGATTGTTGATGGTCCAAATGTAAAACAAACAAGCTACAAGAAGCAGTTTCTTGAAGGAGACATGTTTGGATCATACTCCTTCATTCATTTAACGCGAGGGAAAGTTGAATTTAATGRTAAYGSAAGTGGGATGAACATGGTGGAAGTAGCTGTGATTGTCGAGCTGCTTGCAAAACTTCATAAAGGTGCCTTTTTACTGCTATTTCATAAACCAGTTCAATTTTTTTACCTTTATTGATGTATATACGCAGAATGTGTGGCCAAAAACCAAAAGATTAGTGTGGGTTGCATAACACCATACAAGGCTCAAGTTTATGCGATACAAAACAAACTTGGGAAYATTTATGGAAGCAGAGAAGCAGGAGAATGTGAGTTATCTGTGAACATTCGAACTGTTGATGGGTTTCAAGGTTGTGAAGAGGATGTGATAATCATATCAACTGTGACGGGTAGTGGGAAAAGATCGATTGGTTTTCTTTCTACGCCAGAAAGAGCAAATGTTGCYCTAACCCGAGCAAGGTAACMTACACAAAACACTTTCACATTAATTTTGTCTACTAAAGTGACATAATTAATCTGTTAACTTGTGAAGGCATTGCCTGTGGATAGTGGGAAATGGAGACGTTTTGAGGCAT